ACACACACACACACACACACACACACACACACACACACACACACACAGTGTTTTTGCTACTGTGTGTGTGTGCAACCGACTGTGCAACAGCCTGTGCTGAGAACGCTTTTGTGTGACTGAATGTGTGTGTCCTTCAGGATGATTCCCATGTTAACTTGGGTGATTAGACTTTAGAGTTTGTCTTGGGTCCACTCCTGCTCAATCGAACAACGGTAACCCACTCAATGTAAAGCAGTAAAAGGCAAACAGACGTCTGTGTAAAGCTTTTACATTAAATTATATATCTTTGTATTCTGACCATATAAAGAAAGTCAACTGAATTTAGAGATTTTGATAAAGTGGTAGATTTTGATAAAGTGGTAGATTTATACGTGATGGCAGCGATCGGGCTGCGGGACAGAGCGGTTACTAGAGTTTATTCACACTCTCTCTACCCTGAAGATAAATGTCACTAATGTTTCCGAGAAGCATGTTGATTAAATCAGTATGCGTTTGTTAGGTTTGTGAGGGGAAGAATTCAGTATAAGATAATGCAATAGTTCGGGAATGAGTGGGAAGCCAGATTATTAGAAGTTCAAATCTCCGCACTTAGCTAAACAAAATAATCTATTTACAAACAGAGAAAAGGGTTCAGGAGAATAACGCAACTAATTAAGATTTAGCAACAATACATTTAAGAGCATGGATGGCTGTTGATTAGGAAAAGCTAAGAAAATGCAAGCTAAGAAAACCAAAATAATCTGCTTTAAAACTAAATAATACACACTGAGGAGGAATGATAATCAGTGATTAAATAGATGCTGTGCCACTCTGTGTTAACATGTTCTCCACAGGAGTGTAAAAGATCAACAACAGCCGGTTCAGGTACAAACCACAAACATGGAGAAACCCGGGAGGAAGCTGTTCAACAGGGATTTTTGGGTAACAGTCTTCATGAGTTCATGTTCATGGGATGGACAGATGATCAAAAGGATCGGTGAAGGCTGCGACATTTGTAGTTGGGGACAGAAGAAAAGACAAACTCACTGATGTTCTTACAGCTGCTTAGACAGGAAGCGCTATCTCACACACACACACACACACACACACACACACACACACACACACACACACACACACACACACGTCTATGTTTTGCCAACTCAGCAGAGCTGGAGCCTGAGAGAAAGGGGGTTGTGTGTGTTGTACGTGTGTGTTTGCACCAGCGACTGCAGCCCCTCTCCTCTCGTTATACATTCCAGCAGCTCCGACTCGGCTACATAGGCTCAAGTCTGGCATGAGAGTGTGTGAGTGCATGTACATGTGTGCTCTCGACACCACTATTTCAAACCGCTCCTTCTTATTTAAGCGTCAAACTATAATTACCGCTTCGCGGTTGTATGCCTGCGCCCACCAGTCAAGTTGCAGCTTGATGCAGTCTGATCAAAATGGCATCGCTTCAACATTTTTGTGTGACATTGTCATAACTAGCATATGAATTCTGTTATGACCAAAAAAAGCGTTTTGTGGGATCACAGTGACTTTTGAACATTATGATCTTATCAGCTCATCCCTGAGGACGTTTGGGTCAATTTCTAAGGAATTCACTCTAGGCGTATCCTGAGATATCATGTTCAAGAAAATGGGAAGAACAACAACCCGAAAACATAATGCCTGCTGTCACAAAGGCCTAAAGAAAGGGGAATGTGATCCAGAGAAAACCCAAGCCCACGGTGGTAGAACAAAGCCTCTATTAACAATTTCTGAATGTTGAAATGACTCATGTGGACACATAATGACAAGATTCACTTTTACATGAGGATTACCTGCTTTGCTCTTTGCTCCTGTTAAACCCATGCAGCACTTACCCCTTTGTATGACTTCTGTGAATCGACGTATGCAGGCGCGTTTATATTGCCAATATGGACCTGACTCAACTGCCCCAAACTTGTACTACTACTATGAGACCCGTGTGTAAATAAATTGCTTCACGGAGAACTCATTCTAGGTAAGGATTGATTTCAAACATTGCTACTGGAGGCTGAACTTTGGAAGTAAATATTTCAGTAATCCTGTTTGTAAATGTTATAAAGTGAGTAAGTTGTGTGTGTGTGTGTCTACCTCCACGGCCAGTGCTCCCAGGCTCTCCAGAAGAGCGTCGGTTGCAGCTGAGACTTCCTGAACGACTTTGGGGTCCGACTTCACATCCTTCTGTTAGACAGAAAATGCCATGTTTACTATGCAACTGAGATTTTTACACTGCATTGTTGGTTCCTGTGCACAATTAATACATCCTGAAAAAACAACATACAATGAAACAGAAAATGGAACAAAATATATGTTTCTTGTCCATTAATTGCTTGCCATTTAGCTTATTTCAAATGGTCTTGATCTGTTACTGTACTAACAGCTATACTATCTTCCATGTTTTATCCATTTATACACTTTAGAATTAAAGATGACGGTAAGAAGTGGACAAATGGGAGAGAAAGAAGAAGAACAACAACATTGGGTTGAAAGGTGAACGGAGAGGCGAGCAGAGAAAGAACAACAGGCCAGCGTAGCTTTGACCTCCTATGTTCCCGTCTGTCAAACTGGTGTGTGTGTATGTGTGTGTGTGTGCTCGTCTATCACACTAAGCTGTCAGCTGCTTGAACGCCTGGCACCCCGATAAAGCACAGGCGTCGCTGAAGACAGAACAGCCATTTGGGAAAAGAGAAAAGTTCTCCATCTCTTTCTCTCATTTGCTCAGTCTTGTTTTCTGTTTACTTAATGATTTCTATCCTCACACACACACACACACACACACACACACACACACACACACACACAC